CCTGTGGTGCCAGCGACCCTCCCGCCCCAACACCAGAGCAGCGGGAGAGGTACCAGAGTATCCACATGCCATGCCAGTCGTGCGGCAGCAGAGGTACAAAGCCCCGCACCCGTGGTGAGCAGAAAGTGGGAAACGCATCGTCCCGGAAGCGCAAACATGCTGAGACAGAGAACTAGTCACGTTAGCCAGACACGATTCTGTTAGGCAACATGGACTCAGTGTTCGCGATATACCTCGCATGTACATTCATTCCACACGTCAACTGATTCAACATGCGTGTCACATGTATTTTTGTGTTGTATTTGGAATATATCAAGTGATGTGGCAGCCGATCATCCCCGTTTAGTTTATCTGTCGTACTATTGGCTGCTTTGTATGTACATGTATGAGCACATTGTTGCTCTTTGCTTGCTATGTGTGAGCTGATAATCCACCATAGATATCATGGGAATAGCACTTTTTATTAGTGATGTCATGACGTATTGATCACACATGTACAATGTATACAGTTTTCAGTAGAAATTGTTCTTGTTTTTTTCTTGACTTTTGTTTTTTTTCCGCCCGCCCGCGTACCTTTTGTTGAAATTCACCGACGAGAAACATAGAAAAAACTAAGTGTGGCCTAAGATAACCAAACTTCGATAATCTAGTCAGAAGTCGAATACATCCCCTAATGTTGAGGTCTAATAATTCTGTCCTCGTCCCGTGAGATATATGCTTTACAGACTCTAATAAACTGGTATCTCTGATTGTCTGGTGTGAACCAATAACGGAAACCCCTTGTATAGACAACATTGGCGCCCAACTTTGGTTCTAATTACCCACTCCCTTCGCTCTACCGACTACCAACGACTCTCTAATGAATATTCCCGGTGCCTTTCACTTCCCCGCGTGAGTAACTTCGATAAGCTTGTGTATCATATTAGCAAGAGTACATAACTACACAGTTATGTACTCTTGATATTAGTCATAAGTGCTTCTGCCTACCGTTGTGTTCTTGTTCGTTTTCCTTTTGTGTTAATTGGTGTCCTTTTGTGGTGTTTCGGGTGCATCAGACTTATCAGCCTTACTGTCTAGTGTAGCATACTTAGTACGAACCTGTTCGGTCTTCCATATTTGATCTTGAAAAAAAAAAAAAAACTATTCAATATGTCAAGTCAATCTTCTTGGATAATGCCCCGTCCATTCTCAGGCAAAGAGAACGAGGATTTCGAAGCATTCTTATTAGATTTCGATAATGCTTGTGATGCCAATGGTTGGGATGATACTACCGTTCTTGCTCGGCCTGTCCGTCCAGCCCCCATAAGAACCCGAGGGGAAGCATCTGGTTCACACTATACGGTTACCCCATCTCCTGTTACGTCTACCCCGGCCCCACCTAAAGAGGCTACATTTTATACTCGGTACTCTGAAGCTTGTTCGGACGGTCCTTACGCACCTGACGATATTCCAACACCAAAGATTCATTATGCTGATGATACAAAGTCCAAGTCTAGTGCCAGTAGTAGTAAGCCAGATGCCTCCCTCCCCACTAAAGATTATCAGTGTCCGGGTCCCCTTGGTCGTGGTTCAGATGTTGGGACTCCCGTTACTCATAAACCCTTTCTGACTGCTCTGGAGGCGAAGGATGAAGATGCTGCACGCAAACTTCACTGTAAACTTGTATTGTTAAAGAGGTCACTTCGTGACAGTGCTGCACGTTTCCTGCTAAGTTTAACAGTGGTAGAATGTGGGCAGTATGACACCCTTCGCAAAATCCTTACTGAGCGATACATGCCAGCCGAAGCCCAGTACGTCCGTAGAACCCAGCTACGCACGAAACGCCGCCAACATGGGGAATCGTTGTCGACTTTAGCCGACGACATTCGTTTGTTGACAGCCAGGGCTTATCCCAGAGCAGGAGTACTAGAGAGGGATGATTATGCCATGGAATCTTTCATTCAGGCTTTGGGCGAGTCATTGCGTGCAAGGGTTAGGGATAGCCAACCTGAAACCATGCAGGATGCACTGCGTAGGGCTCTGTATTTGGAAGCACATTCATTTGCTGATGCCTCTGCCAGACATGAGCGTAATCATGGTAATGATCCGTACAGTGCAGCTGTGTCTTCTGTACGAGATGAGCGTCCCCCTGGGTCTGGTTCTAAGGGTAATAGTAGTAACTCCCGTGCACAGCAGTACAATAATGAACCCGATACGCTCACCCGTCTCTGTTTGGCAGTAGAGAAACTCGAGACTCGCCTGTCTGCCCCTGTTAGTACTTTTAATGGTGATCCCCATAAAGGCCGTAAACCCCAGTACGATTCTTCCCATAATGAACCTACCTCTATTTCTGCCCGCTCTTATGGCACAGGCCCGTCCCGTGGCTCAGTCCAGGGCCCACCTTCTTTTGAGTCTGGTTACCAGACCTCCCATCATGATAATTATGCTAGGCGTTATGACCCTCCCCGTGGCTCAGTCCAGGGCCCACCTTCCTTTGAGTCTGGTTATCAGCCCCCCTATCACGATAATTATGCTAGGCGTTATGACCCTCCTCGTGGCTCAGTCCCGGGTCCACCTTCTTTTGAGTCGGGTTATCACGATCACCCTATGCCACATGGTCCTCCCCGTAATTTTGATCATGATGCATCCTATGCTGCTCGTCCTGATCCAGGGATGGCTTATGGTCCCCCTCCACCCCGTAGTAAACAAGGTTCCGGGTATGGTCCTCCTCGTCATGGTCCCCGTCCACATAACAGTCGAGTTGAGTTTAGGGACAACAGGAATGGTTATCGTCCTCCTGGCCCATCTTCCCACCCCACCCGCTTTCCTAATAGCCATTTAAACTAGTTACTGAGGCAGATTCTTCAAAGCTTGTCCGTAACTGTGATTATTCTACTCCATTTGAAGTTCCTGCCGATGACTCCGCTACACATAAGTATTCTAGTAATGAAAGCTTGTCAGTTTTCCCGTCTGATAAGGATTCTAATTGTTCCAATAATTTTCAAAGTAAGGCTGATGGTTTGTTGCAGTCCGCTGTGCCCTTGAGTGATGCTGATTTTCATTCTGGGTATGACAGGGACTCACCTGTTGGTTATGAGGTGCTTGTGGATGAATCTCCGCGGGAAGCCCTTTATTCTAAGTATTTAGAGTGTTGTGATGATGACTTGGAGGCACATGTCCCCCTTTTGCATGATGTTGAAGAAGATGAGGATGAACCCCTTCTTCCAGTTGTGCCTCCACGTCCTGTTTACAACACCCCCCAGAATAGTCTTAATGCCCTACAGATGTTGATGGATGAAAATACGGATGTAACACCCGTTTTGCCGCTCGACTCCGCTGTTCAATTATTCATGGCCGAGAATTTAGACGAAACGCCTGTTTTGCCTTTCTGGTCTCCGGTCCAAGTAATGATGGAAAGCAATTTTGATACCACGCCCGTGTTACCTGCTGAAAAAGTTGGTTTTCACGATGACTTATCTGACGATGAGGAATACCTCGACTTGACCATCCCTAATGTTTCTGCACACTCTAACGGATTTTACGTATCCGGTACTTTTGAGTTCTCCAATACAGCTGATAATTCAATTACCCCTGTTCACGTACGCCGTATTCTAATTGATACGGGTGCCGCTGTTTCCCTAGTTAGCGAAAGTGTCCTTAAGCAGTCTGATGTTTTTCCGGATTACCACAGTGTTGAAAAGTTATTAGGTGTAAGGCGTCTATATTCTGCAGAGGGCCGCCCCATGGAATTTTCGGGAGCCGTTACCTTTTCATTGCAGCTAGACCAGACCAGCACCCCCTTGGAATTTTCAGCCATCGTAGTCCCTCATTTACATGAAGACTTCTTATTAGGTGCAGACGTACTAGTTAAATATGGCATAATTTTGAACATGAGTAATTGTACGTTGAGCTGGAGTGGAAGTTCGACTCCTCTAGTACCGTACATCCCCCGTAGAACTGTAGAGCCGCGGTCTCCAGTTCAGGACACTGCTGACACTTTGCATGAGCTGGTGCATTTTCCCCGCAGAACTGTGGAGCCACAGTCTCCAGTTCAAGGTAGCGATGTAATTTTGAATGAGCTTGTGAGCATCCCAGCCCGTTCAGAAGTCATTGCCATAGGCAGAATTGCATGTTCTTACTCGACTGGCTTGGTTGAGAGAATGCCCTCCCCTAATTGCAGTTCTGTACTTGATGATGACGAACCCGGAGCCCAGTTTGCTCACGACAAAAACTCACACGACAACGTTGAACTTTTCTTATTGTCAACTAACTTTGATAACTCATCGCGAAAGCAAAGAAAATGCAAACCTCTCACGGCTGAGGTAAAACGAACAAGCCCTCTTTCTCTCACGACAACTCCCCCAAGCAGGGAGCAACAGCAATATCAAAAGCAAAGAAAGCGCCGCGCGTACGGCACATGCGGGGCCATATATGCAACCTACGACAAATTAGCAGCAGCGCTGGTACAACAGAAATGTACAAAACGCCGGAAACGTAAAGGTCATGAACCCATGCGACCCCCTGCCGGCGTGGACAGGGTGGCTACAGCTATAAACGGACTCATATCGAGCCAAGAAAGATACGCGACAGATACAACTCAAGCATATAGAAACAAGAAATAATTAGTGCACTGCAAGTGCCAGCGTAATCTGGCATAATGGCAAATATTGCATAGTAGTGAAGGTGAGTCCTGAACAAGCAGCATACAAAGCTTGCAACACGGACATAATACACGCGCAATTGTTGCATAGTAGAACAATGCCCGTCACGCACCAAAAGAAGCAGAACTCAGTGCTAAATAGAGGCTCTTCTTATCAATTCTCCCCTTCCTCGATATCTCATATCGAAAGTGTGCCATAACGGAGATCTATGCAATACAAATTGCATCATAGTAGAACTACTACAAATTGTAGTATCACACAGATAACTAAGAATCTAACTCGTGATACACTGAATGGCAATAATGTGTCACTGCGATGACTTCACTTGCATGTGTCGCATACTACAGTTCACAGTGTTACTCACTCTGGTGTGGCTTCCAATGGGCACAACCTTGCAATAGGTCGCACAAAGGTCTTCTCACCAACCTTCACCTTCGCTACTCGTACGTGACCGTCTCGGCCTGGATACGTTTCCAGCACTCGTGCCAATGGCCAGTGCCCTCGTGGTGTATCGGGTGACAGAAGTAGCATGACATCACCGACTTGAACTTCACTTTGAGGCTTCTTCCACTTCTGTCTGGCGCTCAGGCTTGGTAGCCACTCCTTGATCCATCTCTCCCAGAAGTGGCGCACCAGTTCTTGTACTCGTCGCCACCGTCGTTGAGGATTGAAGCTCGTGTGGTCGACTGTTGATGGAGCAAACACACCTCCCATCTGGCCGAACAGGAAATGATTGGGTGTGAGTGGCGTCTCATCGAGCGGATGGCTTGACTGATAGGTCAGGGGCCTCGAGTTGATTAGGCTTTCTGCACCAACCAATGCACTTGTCAATTCTTCGTCTGTTGTCTCAGCATTTCCAAGTATGGCGTAGATAGCACGTTTGGCAGCTCGGACCATCACCTCGAACGATCCTCCAAAGTGTGGAGCGGCTGGTGGATTGAACTGCCAATGAATGCCCTGATCGGCGGTCGTCCGTACTATACAGTCTTGATCCAAAGCATCGTGTAACTCCTGAAGCTCTCTCTGCGCGCCGACAAAGTTGGTTCCATTGTCTGATAACATATGCTGTGGTAGACCACGGCGTCCAACGAATCTGTAGAAGGCGTTGAGGAATGAGCTTGTGTCGAGTCCATAGGCAAGCTCCAAATGCACTGCGCGTGTAGCGAGACACGTAAACAGACATAGATAGCGCTTCTGCCTCTTTCTGCCACGCCCTTGGACCGTGGTAAATGGACCGGCAAAATCTACTCCGGTTCTTGCGAAAGCTCGGAAGGATGGTGTGATCCTGGTGCGTGGAAGTGGAGCCATTATCTGATGTGCAGGCTTGGCCTTCAGCAGCTTGCATCTCGGACACTTCCGTTCCACCTCACGAATTGCTTCCCTGGCGGCATTGATCCAGAATCGCGCACTGATATTAGCGAGGATGTGGTTAGTGCCTCCCACATGCTGAGCTAACTCATGATAGTGCCGAATGATGAGCTGGGTGACGGGATGATGACGCGGTAAGATGATTGGGTGCACTGTATCCTCTGGCAGGTACTCTGCATATGCCAGTCTTCCTTGACAGCGCAGTACACCGTTGTCGTCGATCATTGGGTTCATGGGACTTAATTCGCTTCTTGCCGACACCACTTTTCTCTGGCCGAGCACCTTGATCTCGTCCGAGAAGGCATCATGTTGGGCCATCTTCAAAACCTCGGTCTCTGCATCACTGATCTCTGCTGATGAGAGCGGACCTGTCATTCTGTCGGACTTGATTGTACGACAATTGGTCACGAAGCGTCTCACTAACGCCCTTGCGCGGAGTAGTCGGCTCCATGATCCGAAGCGCTCGGGGTCAAGCCGCCATTGCTGCTGTTGCTGGTTGCTAGGACCTGTCGTCTTGTCATTGTCGGCCGCTGTCTGAAACAGGCTTGTAATTGCGTTGGTCTGCTGTTGTTCTTTCTTCTCTTCCTTGCGCATCGTCTCGACATTGACCTTGGTCTCCACCCGCTGTGGCCAAGTTGTAGCATCCTGTAGTAGATATGATGGACCATTCCACCACATGCTGTCATCTACTTGTTGCACTGAACACCCTCGTGATATCTTGTCGGCTGGGTTTTGCTCGGTTGGTACATGATGCCATTGCGCTGGTTCCGAGAACCCTTGTATTTCGCTGACTCGGTTGGCCACGAACGTTTTATACCTCTTGCTTTGGCCACGGATCCAATACAGGACGTTCATGCTATCCGTCCAGAACACCAGGGCTGACTTCGGTAGCGCCAATGCGTTGGCGATCTGCCTAGCCAGCTGTTTCGCAATCACTGCTGCTTGTAACTCCAGGCGCGGGATGCTAGTTGTTGACAGAGGGGCTACTCTCGATTTCGCTGCAATCAATCGTGATGTTACTTCATCTGTACTGCCCTGCACTCGGTAGTAGGCAACTGCTCCATACGCCTTTTCTGAAGCGTCAGCGAAGATGTGGCATTGGACGTTTGAAGCTACTGGCTGATCCGGTGGCTGGAGACACCGCGGAATGGCGACTGATGCAAGCAGTGGGAGTTCTTCAAACCACTGCCGGACAGCTTGGCAAAGCTGCGGATCCAATGGATCATCCCAAGCGACACCGTCTGCCCACATATCTTGCAGCAACATCTTGGCTCGGATTGTCAGAGGAGCCAGAAGACCCAAGGGATCGAATATTGTCGCCACTCGTTTCAGCACATTCCGCTTTGTGTACTGAAATGTTTCCGGTAGCGGTGAGAGCTTGAACGAGAAGGCGTCACTAGTTGCATCGTATTGCACTCCTAGCGTCTTCACTGAGGGCAAATCACTTTTACTGAGGTCGACTTGCAGTGCTCGGTCTGTTGCTGGTATCTGCTCTAGTACTTCCTTTGAATTGGAGATCCACTTGCGAGCAACCATTCCAGTGTCACTCCACAGATCTGAAAGTTGTCGATAGAGGCTGATTGCATCTGCAACTGATGGTGCTGAATCCAGACTGTCATCCATGTATGCCGACTGAAGGACGGTCTCAGCTGCTTGCGGCCATTTGCTACTGTTTGCCTTAGCGTGCTCCTGGGTGACCAGCTGTGCGAGGAATGGTGAGCAATTGACACCGAACACGACTCTGGTGAATTCATACTCGTCTGGTTCATTGTCCCGCCCTGGGTCACTGCGCCACAGAAATCGGTGGTACGGACGATCCTCTTCAGCAAGATGAATTTGGAGATACATCTCACTGATATCACAGGCCACTGCGATCGGATTCTTGCGGAAGCGAAGTAGTACTTTCGCTAGATCCTGTTGCAGCTTAGGACCCTGATGTATCGTATCATTCAGCGAGACTCCATTAAGGCGAGCAGATGCATCAAACACGATACGCACCTTGGTAGTACTCTTATCCGGTCTGAGTACTGGGAAGTGTGGTAGCAGCCATTTGGATGGTGGAGGGCGCTCGCCTGGTAAGACTAGTCGAACGTACCCTTTTTCCACATACTGTTGAATGATTTTGTCGTATGATGCTGCTACATCTGGTTGCTTTGCTAAACGCCGTTCGGTACTACGGAGTCGCTGCATTGCCATCTCTTGGTTGTTGGGCAGTTGTGGGCCGTCTTTACGCCACGGCACACTTACTTGATGTCTCTGGTCGTTCTTCACCATTGATTTGACAGTTGCATCCACGATGGTCTGATCATCTGGACTGAATGCGGTTTCCAAATCCGAGTCGGTCTTTTCGAGCTCCCAGAACTGTCGGAGGAGAGTGTCGGCTTCCATTTCGTGCCTGTCACCCGCGTACAGAGTGATGGCGGTATGTGCATGTGACGTTGTTGCCGTTGGTCCAACACAAGTCCAGCCCAGTGGTGTTAGACGGGCAATCGGCTCACCTGGTTGCCCACGAATGTCCCTCAGCGATTCGTGCAGGTTAGCATGATCATTTCCAATGAGGAGATCTACGCCTCGATTGTCATTAATGGCTGGAAACTGGATGCCCTTCAAGTGTTTCCATTTTGGGCCATGTTGACGCCAATCAATTGCGGGGAGGTCTCCCACAACTCGTCGCGTTGTTCTTGCTTCTATTCGAGCTGTCTCACGTCCGTCCAGGCCGGAGATGTTCACAGAGACAGGAGTAGTGGAGAATGTTTCCTGCCGTCCATTGAGCGTGCTGATTGTCACCTTCTCAGTATGACCCTGTAACCCTAATTCAGCGGCTACATCAGCATTTATATATGACATCGTACTCCCGTCGTCGAGAATAGCATTCACAACCACTTGTCTGTTGGCATTGCGTAGTATCACTGGAACAGTTCTCAAGGACACTGGTGTAGTTGTGGTACTTGGTTTGTTGCACTCCCCTTCCCTGACAGACAATGCCGTTCCATGTACCTTGTTGTCTGCCTTGTTAGAAGCCTTGTCGCTACTCGGTGAGGACTTGCTGGTGTGGTTACTACGTGGCTTGCTGCTATCTGCTGGAGCAGATGTCTGATTGACACTAACAGCATTACAAGAGCCTTGTCTGTTGGAGTCGTGCAAGGTCCGATGATGGGTGTCCTTGCAACCGTCAATGCCGCAGGTGTACGTCTTTGAGCATTCCTTGCCAGTGTGACCATATGACAAGCATCTGAAACAGACATTGGCTTGCTTTGCTACTTGCCACCGTTTTCCGACACTGTAGAACTTGAACTCCGCACACTTCCACAGTGGATGCGGTCCATTACATGCCGGGCAATCTCGGTTCGCTGGCATACCAGCATTCGCGAATGTACGCGCCGTATTCTTGAACATTGGTGGCGTCCGGCTGGTGAACTGTCGTCTATTCACACTGGCTGATTGAGCTGGCTGTGACTGAGCTGCCGCGTTGCCACTGAATCCGCTCACGGTTTCTGACGCTACTACCAAGAACTCTGCCTCCAGGTTCACCCACTCGAGAAGTACTTCAACTGTCTCTGGCTGAGATTTATCATGTCGCCACCGGTGGTATTGGGCGAGGTTACGTTCGTCTAGCTTCCTCAACAGACTGAGGTAGAATGTGCCATGGCCCAATTCCATGGCTCGACCTGAATCTTTCATGTTGACTACGGCCACGGCAAGCAGCTCGGCAAAGTGCTCCATCTCTTTCGGTCGGTTGGCTCTCACTACGGACATACTATCGATCTGTTCAATATGTAGAGCCACACGGCGTCGCTCACCGCCATACTTGCGCTCTAGCAACTTCTTAGCTGCGTCATAGGCTGATGGTGAGTAGCCAAGTCGCTCGATGGCTGTCAGTGCGTCTCCTGCCAAATACTGCCTCAATTGCAACAGCTTGTACTGAGGGGTGGCGGGTGCACTATCTACACATGCCATGAAAGCTTCTCGGAATGACTCATACGTACGTTTGTCACCGCTGAATATTGGTATGCCAACTCGTTGTAGCTGCTTCCATGGCTCTGCACGAGCCTGGTTTTGTTGCATTTGAGGTAGCCCTGTTGCATACATTTGATTTCCAATATTGGATGGTGTTGCATAAACCATTGGCTGTTGCATGTACCCGGAAGACATCTGTGGTTGGTGAGTATGCCCATATACATTAGTTCCCGTAGAAGCCATTGACATTGTGCTCACAGGCGGTGCCTGCCACTGGATACCTGACTGGGGCATCTGTGGTTGGTTAGTATGCCCATATACATTAGTACCCGTAGAAGCCATTGACATTGTGCTCACAGGCGGTGCCTGCCACTGGATACCTGACTGGGGCATCTGTGGTTGGTGAGTAGGTCCATATACATTAGTACCTGTAGACATTGGATGCTTTCTGAAAGAGTGTGGATTAGCCTGTGTACCAACACTGTACTTAGTATTCATTGCAGTATTCACACTATGCGTACTGGTTGAGGATACAGAATTGCTTGGCAGAACATTGCTACTGCCCAAGGGTAATGTAGGACCAGTAACCTTAGAACTACTACTAGATGTACTGCCTGAGGTAGTTGTGTTTGCAATAGCAGGCCTAGCAAGAACACTCACACCATCATTGACACTTACTGTGGTACTTGTCATGGTCACTGTTGCAGAACCATCTGTATACTGGCCAATGTTGGACTGGACAGCGCTGGTGACCTCTGGCCTGTCTGGGATGGTACCACCAGTAGTACCAGTAGCTGTTGAAATTGAGTGCCCTGTTACTGCTGCGCGGTCATCAGTGTCAAAAGGTAGTTGTTGATCAGTTGCATTTGTTGCATCTCCCCTGGCGGACCTGTTCACGTCTCGTTGTTGTAGCGATCTGGCCAGCAATCCCGGTTGTGACTCAAACCCAAGTGGTCCTGCGGACAGTTCATTGCCGTAAACATGTCCTGGCCACCAACCACCGACTTCTCTGGCTTCATCGCGGCACTGTTGATACGAATTACCGGTATACTGCTGCGTTTCAGCTGAGGCGACTGGCACGCCGTGAGTTGTTCTTACAATTTCAAACGCCAAGTCCGTCGCTTCGTCAAATTGCCTCTGGAGTACTTCTAGCTCACTAATCATCTTATCCTTCTCTCTCGCATTACTCTCTGCTTCGTATAAACCAGCTAGATCTGTGATCGTCCCTTCCGCTCTCTCATATGCTATTTCGAGCTCGTTCATTTCTCTTTCGGCATCGAAGTAGCTCTCATCGTCCGTACATCGCATCTGCACTCGCTGGGCTTTTACAATCAGCCCTCGTCGGATGTTCGTGAATTGCTTCTTGTCCTGCGTTTTCCTGGCTCGGAGTGCACAGATGCTCGATCCTGCTTCACCGGCATCACCCGACCCACCTTGCGTTGGTGGCGCATCGGATGTCTGCTCAGCGTCTTGATCTCGGCAGCTCCCTGTGCTTGCAGTATCGTCTGCAACTACCTCCGACGGTTGAGCCTCGCTCCTGGAGTCCTGCGGTTCGTTGGAGCCTTGTTGCTCCATCTCAACTAATCGTGGATCACTCTAGTAAAAACCATCCTCTGCTACCAATTTGATGATGACGAACCCGGAGCCCAGTTTGCTCACGACAAAAACTCACACGACAACGTTGAACTTTTCTTATTGTCAACTAACTTTGATAACTCATCGCGAAAGCAAAGAAAATGCAAACCTCTCACGGCTGAGGTAAAACGAACAAGCCCTCTTTCTCTCACGACAACTCCCCCAAGCAGGGAGCAACAGCAATATCAAAAGCAAAGAAAGCGCCGCGCGTACGGCACATGCGGGGCCATATATGCAACCTACGACAAATTAGCAGCAGCGCTGGTACAACAGAAATGTACAAAACGCCGGAAACGTAAAGGTCATGAACCCATGCGACCCCCTGCCGGCGTGGACAGGGTGGCTACAGCTATAAACGGACTCATATCGAGCCAAGAAAGATACGCGACAGATACAACTCAAGCATATAGAAACAAGAAATTTAGAAAAGCGATCCTGTCAGCTTTTCTATTATTGTGTTCACATGGCGCTACCTAACGACACCGCTATTCAGACACGTTGTCTACGTAGCTACGTAAGTTTCTACGTAAGATGCTCGGTACCTGGTCCTGGACCAGGGAGCTACTCCATGGCTCCTACCATCGCGCGGCCGGCTGGCCGCATGCGTGTGCATTGCAGACTTTTTGTTGTTGCCTTTTCGGATGTGCATGCACGACGAACTTCCTTCTTTGGAACTGCTTCTTGCATGAGCTGTTTCGGATATTTCGTCTCCTGGCCTGGCTTATTTCGTTTCGGCGCTGCTGAGACCTCCTTTCGCGGAATATTACTCAATGACAGGTGAGTTGACCAGTTCACTTTGATTCATTTGCTTGTGTTGACTCTTTCATTTACGAAAAGTGTGCTGATTTTGGGCGGAATGAAATTAATAATGGAAAAGCTGACAGGATCTCCTTTCTAAATTTAGCTTTTCCGCTGCCGAGGCCTCCTTTTACGGAATACTCAATGACAGGTGATCTCTGAGTTGACCAGTTTCCTTCGATTCATTTGCTTATGCTCACCCTTTCATTTACGGAAACGTGTGCTGATTTTATTCGGATTTACAGTCGACCTACCCTTATAACGATAACCTCTATAACGATATTACCCTCAAGTTATAACGATATTTTTCTGCCAAACCAAATCACTCCATTGACTTGTGTATACAATGCCTTACCTCTATAACAATATTGCTATAACGATATTACCCCTATAACAATATAAAATGGGCTGACCAATCGACATTTTCCATTTTATAACAATATCTAGCAGGGAATATGTAGAGCCTACTATCCAGGTAGGGCAAGCTTCACTTGATAAGTCGTTGGGACATGACGAAATGCAATGGGGCACCAGTGGGCACCTTGCTGTGCACATAATGTGCATGTATGTCAGTTTTTATGCTATGAAGAGTGTAAAAAATGAAAAAAATCCATGCATTATGACATATGTATATGAAATGAACCAGTTACAATGTACCCCTATAACAATATTACCCTTATAACAATATTTCTTGGTGTGACGCAAATATCGTTATAAGGGTAGGTCGACTGTAGATCCATTTTTATCTCTTTGCCCTTGCCTACAGTGTGCGAAGAACGCGAGTTCACCTTCTTGACGGTAAGGCTTATGTTAGATGTGTTGTCGAAATACTCATATCCATTGCACATTAGTACGTTACAAGTAAGGCACTGGTCAGTGGCATACTATCGTTGGCAGTTCCCAATCTGGAGGGAAAGGTTCAAGGACTCATTGACCGAGTTTGCCAAATAAATTCGCATATCAAGGAAAATCTCCATTGTGGAGAGGTTCAGTAACTTGTTTGCTTCATACGAAACGAGCCAATGGGTGCAGTCTCGTGAAAATCTCGTACTTGTATGATTGCATTTGTTTACTCGAGTCTGGGCTGTTTGATTTGTGAGTACCGCCGAGATTGCACTGCCCCAACTAAAGTTTCGTGCCGCTAATGCAAGAATTACGATCTGCAATCTGTTTGTAGTACCTGTAGTACCTGCAAGAATGTGCAGTCCGTGTATCGTACTTTCTCTGTTGCTGTCATGTTGCTAAAGAAAGGTTCAGTAGAGAGGTTCTGCAAAACGAAAATTCGAACGAAGTTTCGCGACAGTCCTTGCGAAAGTGTGTACGAATTTTTGCACGAACTTTGCGTTCTGCACACTTTCGTAGTTTGCGCGGGCCAAGTGCACGTACGCCATGACCCGATCTCACGAAATTTCCTACTACAGTTCATTTCGTGTTCCCTGCAAGTTTCGCTTCCAAGTTGCGAAAGTTCGTGCGAAGTTTCGCACCTCCTGATGTAGAGGGAAAGTTTGTACGCATTTTCGTTTTGCAGAACCTCTCTAGTGACTCTTTTGTTTGATACGAGACGAGTCAATGAGTCGGTGTGGCTTAGAATCTTTCGCTGTAGAATAAATCTATTCGTATGTCTATTTGAGAAATAATTGTATTCACTGGTTATAAAATAGGTTAAGACAAACTCACAGAATAAATACCATCGGTCCCTTGGTGTTCGTCCTAAAGAGGTTCGACTGGATATCATTCATACTCACCAAAAGATGTGTAAGATTTTATTATCATGGAGTGCCTTGTTTATCTCTCAGTATCAGTACCTCCAACCATAGCCTTGACCCTTTTATCCTCAGGATCAGTGTAGTTGTTGGAACGAGGTGTCGGACTCAGCAATGTATTTGTTTACATTTTAATACATGTTTATTGTTCCTCCTTTGCTGTGTTGTTTTAGAAAATCGTGGACTAACAGTTTGAAGTCATTGAACTACTTCCAAAAGTTGTATCGACATCAACAGGATTACGATTTCAGTGCAATATGATGGTGGATGACCTTATCACGATAACCCATGATTATAAACCAATATAAACACAGAATCAACAAAAACATCTGTGACACGCACCTGGCGCATGGCTACATTTCTCAAACAAATCTGATCGAGGGTGGGGAAATCTGAAATATCTGAAAGGCACGACTCATGCATAACCTTCCTAGGGGCTCCCGTAAGAAGACCATAGATCTGTGGGAAGCACCCTAGTAAAAAAAATTCACGGTTCGCGTGAGACTCTGCTGGAAGCCGGGCTTTCCGCATCCGTAGGAACGCCACCACCCTTCAAGGATCAAGGCGCAGCCAAGTAAAATAAAAGTAAATAATAATAATAAGACAAATTTATGACAGAGTCATGAAATTCTGCAACAGCAACATGCACAGAGTGAACTCCGTATAACCACCACTACTCACATGTTCACCTGCAGGAGAACATGCATTAGGCCATCATTTTGTATAGCTATGTTTCGCGTCGTCCGCACGCAATTTATGACAGAGTCATGAAATTCTGCAACAGCAACATGCACAGAGTGAACTCCGTATAAAAAAGTATAACCACCACTACTCACATGTTCACCTGCAGGAGAACATGCATTTATCATGCTAGTGCCATTTTCTGCCAGAAAAGGCTTGCACATCAATGCGTATAATACGGTATTGATATGATCAAGAGTGCATAAACCTCTTGATATGATGTGAAGGCCATCATTTACATAATTATTGATACAGGCAAGAGTACATCACCCCGGGGTTACATGTATGTACTCTTGATATAGGGCATTCCATTGATTGGTGACAGAAAAAACAAAAGAAATTATAGCAATAAAAACTGCTTTATGGCAGTTTTCTAAAAAAAGTTATTGTGTTCTAGTCCATGGACCCCGTCCAAAAAGTAAGAAATTACCGAAATGTGATAGCTGGAAATTAAAATTTCACACAAAACCTCACAATAATCACACACAGAATTAAAAGCTACATGTAGAAGACCTTTTCCCCTCGTGATCCTCTTTCCTATGCATGCATGTTGCCAATTGTTGGTGCAGTACAAGTTAAAGTTGAAAGCAGCATTTCAAGTGTTGTGATTATTGTGAGGTTTTGGGTGAAATTTTAATTTCCAGCTATCACATTTCGGTAATTTCTTACTTTTTGGACGGGGTCCATGGACTAGAACACAATAACTTTTTTTAGAAAACTGCCATAAAGCAGTTTTTATTGCTATAATAATTAGTGCACTGCAAGTGCCAGCGTAATCTGGCATAATGGCAAATATTGCATAGTAGTGAAGGTGAGTCCTGAACAAGCAGCATACAAAGCTTGCAACACGGACATAATACACGCGCAATTGTTGCATAGTAGAACAATGCCCGTCACGCACCAAAAGAAGCAGAACTCAGTGCTAAATAGAGGCTCTTCTTATCAGTACTAGTAGGTTCTACCTTGGTCAAGTCGAGTGTTGCCGGCGAAGTTCCTGTTCGTTTACTAAATCCGTCAGATTCCCCGATAGTTTTGCGTGAGCATCATCCCATCGCCACTTGGCATGGAATGGAATCTTTTTCATTCGCTGAGTTGGACGATTTTTCGCCCACAGGTTCCCCTGTGGAAGGAGCGGCAAACCCATCAACATCTGCCACTGCATCCTCCGAAGAGAGAACATTTTCTCCCCGTTATGAGACCCCAGATAGTGTAATTAGTAACTCAGAAGTACACTTCCACGGTACTAGACCCCCAGATTTTAATGACTGCACCCATTTTGCACTGATTGCTGTGGGAAATGTTGGTGCTGCAGGCAGACTTTTCCATGGTACTAGACCGCCTGAGAATAATTATTACTCCAGTGCCCCCTTGTGTGACAATATCCATTCTGACCATACTGTCAAGTGTTTGGAGCTGGTTTTTCATGGCACTAGACCACCAGAGTATAACCCTTGACTGTGTGACTGGCCTCTTCAGACTCATTAATTTGTTCGTCTGAAGTTGTATCCTCTCTGACACAAGCTTTGTGTTTAGTAACTCTTGTTGTTACTATACTGCAGACGCTTCCCCATTGACCGTTTTATGCCTATTCATTTGGAGAAACGCACAGGAAGACATGTTTGAGATGGAATGTGTTTT